CTCCAGGGGATATTTGATAAAGATTCTAAATGTCATGCTATACTGAAATAATTCTAAATTCCGAATCTAATAAGGGAAAATAAGAAAAAGAAAAAATCGATTTCTAGATATGAACAACATAACCACACCAAAACTTGAATAACCAATATCCCACACAGATAGTGATGTTTTAGAACTGAAGTTCTTTTAACAATGTTGCTACCATCTTAATCTTTGTAAATATTCGTATGGGTGGTATAGGAATTTTATTAGATTGAGCAGGTTGGGGGTTTTCGCTTACCTTTAGGACGAATTTAGATCTTACATTCCTGCTGGGATAATAAGGGAATTTCAAGACCGTTGCTTTGGGTAGATTGGATCTCTGCACCGTTGCTGGAGCCGGAGGGGAGACTATAGGTGTTGGCTGTTGCTAAGCACTATTCTTTTGACATTCTCTTTCCTCCAAACATAAAGCTAAGGCTTGCGCTTGTAAATGTCTTTCCTGCTAAGCTGCCGCTTCCTATTTTTGACGCTTATACTCCTCTTATCTAGGTGAATTTTTAGGCGGCTTCTTAGAGATCTCCGTCCATGACGGTCAGGGGGTCCTAGAGTTACTAGAACGTTGGCGATATTGATATTATAAATAAGATAATATTCGGTGATTATGACCGAGATTATACAGTAATAATTTATAAAAAAACGGCGGGAATTTTTATAAAAATATTTAATTTATTTTTTATTTTGATTTTTGATTTTTTTTAGACCCTTTCTTGTTTTTGCTATTTACGTACGAACAAATAGGTAAAACGAAATAGGGTTTTTATAATAGGTTTTTATATAATATAATATAATCGGATGGAAAATAAAATTTTTATTTTTATATTTTTAGTAAATTAAATATTAATAATTTTTAAATAATTTTTTAATATTATATATAATATTATATATAATAATATAATTATTTTATATATTTATAATTCTGATTGCCTACTTAGAATATGCTCGATTTTAATTTTATGGGTATGGACGGAAAAAAAAATTAAAATATTTGGAATAAAAATATTTGGGGTAGAATTTTGGAGTGTATAAGTAATGTTAAAGCAAATATTATTATAGGAATAATAATATTCTTATATCGAAAATATGTATGAAACCCAACAAATTGAATATTTTCATTGCAACATAATTTTTTTTTTTTCATAGTTCTACGACACCAGTCGTGGGGGGTACCCTTCGGTGAGCCTGAAAAATTCATTTTTTTAATACAATATAAAAAGAAATTGGTCATTTCGGGTAACCTGTTTTTTTATTAAAATATTCTAGTTGAGGAAATTCAGATATCCAGGGTTACTTGTCCCCAAAGGGAATTACATAAATAAAATATATTCTTATACATAAAAGTGACCCGATTCCTTGCAGAACTACATACATAGAATATATGTCCCCAGTGAAAATATTCATCAATTTTTTGAGGATCACCAACGAATTCCATTGGTTTTCATTGCAATATAGTTTTTTTTTCCATAGTTCTACGACACCAGTCGTGGGGGTACCCTTCGGTGAACCTGAAAAATTAATTTTTTAAATACAATATAAAAAAAAATTGATCATTTCGGGGTGCCCGTTTTTTTTGTTGACATGTTCTAGTTGAGGAACTTCAGACATCCAGGGTTGCTACTCCCCAAAGGGCATTACGTATATAATATATACCCATACAAGGCCTTTATACATGAAAGAAACCCAATTCCTTGCAGAACTATATACATAGAATATACGTCCCCAGTGAAAATATTTATCAATTTTTTGAGCATCACCACCGAATTCCATTGATTTTCATTGCAACATAGTTTTGTCAGAGTTCTACGACACCGGTCGTGGGGGGTACCCTTCGGTGAGCCTGAAAAATTCATTTTTTTAATACAATATAAAAAGAAATTGGTCATTTCGGGTGATCTGTTTTTTGGTTGAAACGTTGTAGTTTAGGAATTTCAGACATCCAGGGTTACTACTTGCCAAAGGGAATTATATATATAATATATACGCTTATATATAAAAGAAACCCAATTCCTTGCAGAACTATATATATAGAGTATAGGTCCCCGTGAATATATTTATCAATTTTTTGAGGATCACCACCCAATTCCACTGGTTTTCATTACAAAATATTTTTTTTGTTTTTTCATGGTTTTATACTACAAAATTTCACAATACCAGTCGTGGGGGGTACCCTTCGGTGAACCTGAAAACGATTGGTCCCTTTACGGGACGGGCTTGAATTACGGGCGGCTGCAGAAATCCAGCAAAACCTGAGGAAAAAAAAATCCGGATCAAAATGGATAGCCGGAAATATTCTATATATATATTTTTTTTTTTCGATTCCGGAAGATTTTTTTATTCTATATATAGTTTTTTTTACCGATTCCGGAATATATTTTTAGAGGCCGAAATTATCGATT